GTCTAAAAGAGCAGGGGAAGTGGGAGGGGTAGGGGAAAGGAAAAAAGGGAAAAGAAAATATATGAGAGAAGGAAAAAAATGGAAACAAAGTCTTTGCAAATAGGGAAGGGTGGAGGGGGTGAAGGGAGGGCAAGGGAAGGGGAACAAAATAAGAACCAAGATACTCATGTAATGGTACAAGATCCCAATGATGAATGTAAGTGTATTTTATACTGAAAATGTACCAATAAACTTAATGGGAAAAATACCACAAAAAAACCCCAAAATCTTGCCCCCCAAAGTGAAATATTTTAAAAATATTTGCAAAATAAATGTTTGTAACATATGTACTTGTCCTTTTTTATTTTTGAAATAGTAGTTCAGGTTTTAAAATATTTGTAATTCTGTGGCCTTACACCATTAATTTAAAAATAGGGCACGGGGGCCAGGGATTTCCCTCAGTGGTGCCACTGCCTGCCTTGTAGGCGCAATGTCCTGAGTTCAATTGCTGGTACAAAAAAAAAAGAAAAAAAGAAAAATAGGGCAAGGACTTAAATAAAAGTAAGGGGGTTGTGTTTGATTTGGCCTAGGTCACTTTACCTGCCTTCTACGCAGTCCTTTTATGAAGTTTTCCATATTTCTAGTTACAAAAACTTATTAACACAAAAAAGCCATTATAAAATCATTAAGTTCAAAATGCTTTGACCTAACTTTATAAATATGAATTTAGTATCATTTTATAATTTGTCATCTCTTGGTACATTTGTAATTTGCCGTCTCTTGCTACATTTATTACTTTCTTTTGTGTATTTTCCACGTCTTAACAGCCTGAGTATTTTCATTAAAAGATTCTCTGTTAAAGAGCAATTTTAAATAAAAACTTAAAGGCAAGAAAAGATTTCCTTTAATGGAATAGGCACAGCTTGTTCTTGCCTTTAAATAAAAATAGAAAAATGAAAAACTAGGGAAAAAGAAATGAGTTTACTTTAGTGTACATTTAAATATATTTCCATCTTCCTTAGGAGAGAGTTATGTCTGTGGCTCAATTGAGCCCTTCAAAAAGCTGGAGTACACCAAGAACGTGAATCCCAACTGGTCGGTGAATGTCAAGACCACTTCGGCTTCCCGGGCTGTGTCTTCACTGGCCACTGCCAAGGGGAGCACTGCAGAAGTGCGGGAGAATAAGGATTTCATTCGGCCCAAGCTGGTCACCATCATCAGAAGTGGAGTGAAGCCACGGAAAGCTGTCAGGATTCTACTGAACAAGAAAACGGCTCATTCCTTCGAGCAGGTCCTCACTGATATAACCGATGCCATCAAGCTGGACTCTGGCGTGGTGAAACGCTTGTACACTTTAGATGGGAAACAGGTAAGCGCCATATTGTGGTTGGACCCTGGCGTTACAGAAGATTTGGGACCCAGAGAGTAGAGGTGTGTGTGACATGTGGTGGGGACCTGAAACATATATTTTGTGCAAGTATTTGAGGCAGCTGATTATTAAATGTAGTCACAAAACATGTACTTTTTGATTTCAAGTCAATCCAAAGTTAGTTTGGGGCAGGATTAATTAAAAATATTTTAAAGTCTATTTTTGAAGGTCAAGAGATTATTCAAGGATTTATACTTTTTCAGTTATTTGCTTAGCATAGTGGTGTTTTCCAGTCATCTGTTTTCAATTTTTTCCTGTGTCTTATAATCTTAAGCATGACTGACATGTATAGGTAAACCAAAGAAAAATCTAATATATTTCTTTGAGCTGAATAATACTTTATGATTTTATGTCTCAGGAATTTTTACTAGTGAGATCTATTTAACTTTTTATAGATTTGAAAATATATATCTAAGGAATGACATGATTCTATCTGGATGCCTTTTAGAGGTATATTTCTAAAATACTATGCATCTCATATTTAAAACACAATTTCAAAATTAAAATGAAAGGGATGCTTTTTTTATCTATGGAATGGATACCAACAGTGGATGAGTGGACATTTAAATGAGTTGATCAGATGAGCAGAGAGGTAGCATTACCTTTCAAGGTGTTGTGTACTCTTCTACAAGGTTTTGCAGAACTCTGATGGTGAGACGAATAAAACAAAACAAAACAACAACAACAAAACACTGATCATGTGCACAGTGTGATTTGCTAGTCATTCAGAGGTTAGCAATATCTTTTGAAGATTATCATTTTTAGCATTACTATCTTTGCTTGACATTTAGTTTTAAATATGGGTCTATTAAAATGACTTTTTTAAATGTGATGGATAATGCTTTGTGTGTATAGCTCATTTAAAGATCAAAACTAGATTCATAATTTAAGGGATTACTCTTATTAAATAGGAAAATCAGACAAGTTCTTGAAGGCTAACACATTCAAATTTTATGAATTAAACTAGATGCTAATACTAAAAACAGTGCTAGTCATGAAAGAATTACTCCCCTAGGAACCCATTTAACTTGTAAAATTCATTAGGAAAGAAGGGATATGTGCCAGTTGTTCATTTATATTGACCAATCTTCTGCTTGTCTCATAATATTTGCATGTGGATAAAGATTCCTGGGGGTGATCTAAAAGGCTATAGCCAGAATGCTATCAATATATCAGTGACCAGAATGTCCACTGCTGGCTTGTGAATTATAGTAGCAAACTTCACATGTAAACAATTAAGCCTTCCTTCACTGTTTTCATTTCTAAGAAGTTACTAAACCATCCTGTTATTCTGCATTTTCGTGTATTGAGTTTTCTCAAGATGGGAGTTTACTTGTTTTCACAAAAAGTAAAATTTAGAAGAAAGAAAAAAAGAAGAAAGAATACATATTGATGAGTCTCCCCTCACACTTCAGAATTATGAGTGTTACAAATTGCTATACACTAAATCTAAAAATCAGCTTTCTCTACTTTAATGTCTACACCAACTGATCAAAGAATGAACTCCTAGAATAGGTACTATGAGGCTCTCAATTGTTTTCATCCCTTTTGAATTCATCTAATGTCAATAGTTTATAATGGCTATTTTTTGCTGCAGTTGAATGTAAATAGTCTGATGTAATGGGAAATAATTCCAGGTTTAATGTCAAAAACCAGTATGAAAATCTTGACTCACCTATAAATCATGTGTTTTTTAAAACATATAACTGAGCCTCGTCATACTCATCAGTAAAAGCATGTTACTGGATAAAAATCATTTCCAGGTTTCACTTCTTTTTTACAAAGTGCCTATGGGATCAACCATGACAGGACTTGTGAAAGTACTTTTGGACTGTAATAATGATAATAATAGCTTTATTAAGCATTAGTCCAAGGGCTTTGTATCAATAATGTAATCCTTCTAACAGCTTGATTATTATCCCCATTTAACAGACAAGGATACAAAGCCATAGAAGTTGTCACAAACATATCTAAGACTACAGAATTATAAACAGCAAAGTGGAAATTTGAGCTGATCTCACTCTAGAGCTTATGCTGATAACCACTGTTCTATAGCAGATTACAGTAAATTGCCAAACAAATGTACTGAGAAAAAAATTTTTAAGGAAATTGTGTTAGTCAGCTTTTTATCACTATAGCAAAATGTCTGAGACAGTTGCCTTTGAAGAGAAAAATTGTATCTCAGGGATTTGGAAATTTCAGACCATAGTCAGATGAACTAATTGCTTTGGGCCTGTGATGGGGCAGTATATTAGGGTAGGAACACATCACAAGCAAATCTTTCACTTCCTCATGGCCAGGAAGTGAAAGAAAGTGAGGAAGGGGTCAGGATCTCACAGTGGCCTACAAGGTCATGACCCCAATGACATAAATACCTCTCACAAGGTTCCACCTCTTAAAGGTTCCACCACCTCCTAATAAGACATGGGGCTTTGGAGGACATTCAACATCCAAAACACAGCAGGGGTAATGTGTCTAAGGAATATAATTTGAGTATTTTCTTTTTCATTTATACATATTTTTCCTCCTGCAGTAATTATGCTGACAGTCATACTTGACTCTTTTTCTTTCTTTTTTTGTCTTTTTGTGAAGCACAGTTTGCTATTGTGGCATTTCTTCTATTATAGCATATTCTCACTGCAGGAGTGGTAAAAGCTGCAGAGGAATTGAATGATAAAGTGGAAAGGACATAAAAACTTTTTGCTTGGCAGTGGGGTGGCATCTTACTCTGCCCATGGTAGTACTGGAGTCCACATACTGCCAAAAGGACATTACCTTTAAAGTCCTTATGATACTTCTTTCTTAATGGCTCAATTGAACTATTGCATCAAGTCCATAAGCAATATGGAAAAACCAATGCCTATTTAAAGATTTTTTTATTGTATTGAGGGAATAGAATTGTTTAAAAAAAGAATAGCTTGAGTATTTTTGGTAAATGGGTAGCAAGGATAATGTGATATCAGGACCAGTGGTTGCACTGACTTCAGGCAACCTGCAGATGTTTCCATGGGATAGAAACTGTTGATGCCGGAACTTTTAACAATGGAATCATGAATGCTTCTGCCTGCTGCTTAATATGTTACCCAGAGGAGAAGGGCACTGGAGGGCATAGACCACATGCTATTCTCACTCCTTCCTGCCACCTCAGGGCCTCCCTGCTTATTGTGATTTGAGTTTGCCTCAAACCCTAACGGAGGAATTCATCCTGCAGTACCTTTTGGAGAATTTTAGGCTGAGACAAGGAAATTGACATATTGGAAATACTGCACCACATAGAAAAGATTTTACAGGAAGCTGCAATTGGCCAAAATAACCATGGTGGCTCATAAGCAGCCTATTTTGAGCAAGCCCTTTCTCATGATTTCAATTTTGTTCCTTATTTGGGGACACTGCATACTCAGTCAGAGGTCTGCTATAACCTTCCTTCTTCCTCCTTACTACACTAGGGCTGATTCTGTGCAGCGTGCCATCAGGCTCCTGGCAGCATGGCTGGGGAGTTAAAGGAAATAATTGCTGTGCCCTATTTTCAGTGGTGCATTATTTATCTGGATCCTGATTAAGGGCATCCCAGAAAGGAAAGAGGGCATTTGCTTGCTGAGAGTTAAAAATCACATCCCCTTTCTCCACATTGAAGGGGAGGCTCTGCAGAATCTGAGAGTGTGAGTCACTTCTTGCTGTGCTGAAGGTCTGGATGTTAGGTTTTGCTGTGGGTTATTCACTCACCCTGCCAAGTGGCAACTCCCACAGGTCATATGGAGTGTGGCTGTTTTCAAGTGATTAAAATGACCTCAAAAGGGTACAAGATTTGCTTCAAAGATACTCTTGAATCTGTCCTGAATCCTTTTATGGAAAAGCAAATCTGGCTATCTGGTGCTGATAAATATGCTAACTCTGATGATTGAATCCTTCCTTAAAAACATAAAGAACAGTAGATCTTAGAAGAGCCGGTGCCTAAGCAGGTAATTTGTACTGTAAAGATCATAGATAAAAAGCACTTCTAAGTGATCCCCTTTCTCTCTGAACGTGTTAGTTCAGATGATATACTGGGTTGATCTTTATGTAGAAAATATAGGCACATCTCCATCTTATCTACTTTCCAACATCAAGATCTAGATAACATTGCAGCACACTTAGATGGTAGAAGAAAAACTCGGGGATTTTATATTTTTATCTTATAGACCTTTTGCACAGGTCATGAACTATGTAAAATCCATTACTGCCAGCATGCTAGTGTGAACAATTTGTTGTTTTCCTAATACGGAAAATCCTAAAAATCATTCAGCTGAAGGGCAATATCTCTCTTATCTGCCCCCTTATCCATGCTTTTGCTTTTTGATGGTTTTGGTTACCTAAGTCAGTCATTGTCTGATAATATTAAGTGGAAAATTCCATATTTTGTGAATGAGGAGAGGAGTGTCCGCATATAATTTTTATTACAGTATACTGTTATATTTTATGAGTTATTAATCACTCACTGTGCCTAATTAATAAGTTAAACTTTATCATAGGTAAGAAAAAAACAGTATATACAGGGCTTGGTATGATTTGTGATTCCGGACATCTACTAGGGGTCTTGGAACATTTCCATCACAGGTAAAGGGGCACTACTATATAACAAGCTGATTTAGATGGTGAACTCAAAACAGCTATCATAGCTGACATGTTAAGGAAATCCCAGTAGCTTTCAATATATTAATCAATTTTATCTTTGCATTGTTGAATTGGATTGTTGAATCTCCATTGCCTATCTAAACATAAAAATCAAAAGATGCATATAAATAAAAGATAATTGCAACACTTTAAGTGGCTAGTATAGGAGTTTATTGGGATTCAGGAAAAGATAATGATATTAGGAATATATGAATCAGATATCACAAAATGGTCCTCATTTTTCTTTCTTGGTTTTCAGCGTCTAATTTTAATCTGAAGTAAAAATAATTTGATGCACACTTGAATTTAGAGGACTTAGAATAAATCTTTCTCTTGCAAGTTAAAAAATTGGTAAGCATTACCACAATATCTGATCTTGCTATTGATTAACGGAGAAAATGAAAGCCAAACTTTAAAAATAAAAAATAAGGAATTTAGGATGTGACAGAAATTGGTTGGACCAAAAGAGTAGATTTTCTGTAGCTCTTGGTAATAGTAGCATTTTCCCTTGGGTCTTTTTTTTTTTTTTTTTTTTTTTTGAGAGAGAGAGAGATTTCTGTGATACTTTAACTTCTGTGAGCATACTTAAATCCTTCATTCTTGGTATACAAGTTTTTTTCTACCATGATTTGATACATTATGTTGCAAAAGTGAATGTAATACTTTTTAGTTTGTAGTTGATGTAAAAAAGGCTGAAAAAAGTAATTTAGCTTGCATTTTAAATGTCAAATTAAATGTTTCTGGAGAAACTCAGATCACATATTAAACTAACCTCATGATTTACAAGAGCTGGGAGATGATGGAAAGATTGTATCTAATTTTGAATAAAAATGAGTTTAAAAATTATGACGGAGAATTAAATTGTTCATAATAGAATATGCTATTGTAGGTCCAGTATCTTTGGTGGATATTTAGGACTTATGAGCTACACCCATCTTTATATAGCTAGTAGTTCCTGCAAATTGGCAAGAATTAAATCCTTTTCTTCCAGTCTGAACTCCACTGACTATGTAATAAGTTATAGGTACCTTCAGTGGTGTGTATTTTGATGGTCAGGTTAGTCAGTTAGGAAACTGAGATCTGCCTATAAAATGAGTTTTGAGATCTCTTGACTGTTCCACTGTGGGCCTGAGAGACATCCTCTGAAACCTTCCCTGTGGTATTTGAACACACTTTGGCCACTTTTACAAGAATGCTTTGGGATTGCCTCCTAGTGATGGCTTCTGCTGCTTTTGCAAGTGCTATTAGAGCCCTGGTTTGGCCTTTGAACCCTGGTGGGAGCATGTGGAATAATGGAAAGAACTTGGACTTTAAAGTAGATGGGCCCTGGGCTTAGATTTCAATTTGAAAAATTTAGTTTGAGGTTTCTCATAAAAGCTTTGAACATTAAATTATCTTCCCCACCTGCTGTGGATTAGGTCTTCAGTGTCCCTCAGAGGACCAAGTGTTAAAGGGTTGGTCCCCAGCTTGGCAGTATTGAAAGGTGGGTGGAGACTTTAAGAGGTGGGGCTTAGTGAGAAGTTTTTAGGTCACTGGGGACTTGGCACTGAAGGGAACTGTAGAGTCTCAATTACTTCCTCTTCCTCTGATCTTACTTCCTGGTCAGGAAGTGGGCAGTTTTGCTCAGCCATATACTTTCCACCATAATGTGCTGCCTTGTCACAGGCCCAAATGGAACAGGGCCAAACAGTTATGGACTGAATTCTCCATAGCTGTGAACCAGAATCCTCTATTCTTGATTTGCAAGTTTTTTACTATTATGATTTTATACATTATTTATCTTGTAAAAGTCAATGTATTTGTTACAGTATGGGAAAGCTAATACACCAGTTTACCGATTAAGCTTTAAAATCTTATATATTGAATTTACTGATGAAGAAATTTGCTTTTATGTGCTGTAGTTTAAGTGTTGAAATATGCAATAATGTGATAAAAAAGAAAAATACCAATTTCTTTGACCAATAGACTTGAGTTTCAGTCTGGCTTCTATTCTAGACACACTGAAATCTATCTTCCTACTGTGAACAGTTAACTCCCTTTGGTAATCTTCAGTTTCATCATTTGTATTAAGGAAATAAGAATAATAATGTCTGCTTTATAAACTGTTGTGAGTTTTAAATGAGATAATGCATGTGACAAATTTAGCACAGTGGTTGATTACTAATTATTGGTAATTGTTATACCTGAAAAGCTGAGAGTTCAATTGGTTTTTAGTTCTGAAAAAATATCATATTATAAATGTGCTATGGGAGCTTCCTATCTAAAATTATTCTTTAATAGTTACCAATCATTTACATATCTTACTTTGTAAATGTGTCTTTTCACATGGAGATGCTTCATGGTATAATAGAAAAAGCATGGAATTTGGAATATGTTGTTTGTAAGAACAAATTCTACTTAAACATTCACTGATGTTTAACACTCACTTTGGCAAGTCAAATAAACTTTGAATTTCTTTCCTTTTCTTTAAAATGGCAGGAATAATGCATACTTCATAATATTGGTGTGATAAATAATTGACAAAATATATGTGAAAAGGCCCTGGCTTGTTACATGGTAGGTCCTCAATAAATATTACTCCTTCTCTCTTTTGCTTTCATATTCTAGTTTTACTTAACAGTACACATGTAATTTTATAATATCATGGATATAAAATTGGCCATTTTGCATTGTTTGCATTGTAATGGAAATGCTACAACTGGACTATTGGTTGGTATTTTCATCGTCCCATTTGTTGTCAATCAGTGTTGAATGCAGACCAGATACTATTTACTTCTTTTGCTTCTTCAGTTGTGCAAGTCATCCCTTAAGGATGTCTGTGTCTCTGCAACTCATTCCACCAATAAAGTAATAATGATATTATTAGTCTTATTGGCTGAATATCTTCTCTCTGCTTAGCGCTGAGCTAGTAGCCACATGTATTTGCATTGAAGATTATTACATTGATGATTCAAATAAGATTTTTGAATAATTACCACAGCTCTGGAAAGCAAGGATTTACTCATTTCTCAAGATTTAGCTCAAAGGTAATTTCAATGAAACATTTCCTTATTTCTCATGTAGAATTGATAACTCCATCTCAGAGCCATTTCAGTGTCCATTGTACCTAACTCTGCAGCTCTTCGCTATGCTGATTTTTTCCCATGCCTGTTTCCTGCTTTGGATTTCATAGGATGAAGCTGCAACAGTGTACTGTTGGCCTGTGAATCTTCAGGGCCTGACTTTATTAATAATTGGATGACTAGGAGGGCTGGGGATTTAGCTCAGTGGTTCTGCTGCCTGCCTTGAAAGTGCAAGGTCCCGAGTTCGATCCCCGGTTCAAAAAAAAAAAAATCGATGACTAAGTGAATGGGTGGTTAACAGGAACTCTCCTCTTTGCACATTTCTTTTATTGCTCAGCAAAGTATATACAGGCTGTGTTCAGTATGAGGTGTCCTGGTCTCTTAGGCTCTGGGGGTAGGTAGCTGTAAGCAGAAATAGTGCTTTCTGCAGTGTAATCACAGATTCCAAGACATTCATTATGGTGGTTGTTCTCTAGCTTGGGCTCCTACTTAGTGAAATACTCTAAGATAATTAAAACACAAAACAAAACTCACCTGCCAATTTTGGAGCATTTTGGCTGTTGAAAATGTTTTTATCCTGTTGGGCTATAGTAGATATTCTGTTAGAAAAATCTTGCCATCTGAGTCACATGAGTTGCTCTAAATCTTCCTCAAATTGCCTCAGCTATCCATTAAATAAAGATAAGAGCTGATCTTACATTCTGTGGATTTAAAAATTGGTAATAAGCCAGTAAAAGATTCTCATGAAAAGCATCTGGCTAAATTATTACAGAGATGCAAGCCTACAGGATTCAAGGGTGTATATAGTGGCAGAATACAATATGTTGCAGCAGATTTTTCTGATTAGTTTAAATCCTGGAAACGAAATTAAATGAAAGATGGCAATTTCAGAAATTAAATGGAACTTAGAAAGTCCAATTTTAAATATGAACTATGTTGTAAATAACATGCCATAGAAACAAAAGGACAGATGAGATGTTTATTTTTTAATTGAGTTTTTCCATTACAAGATTATTATACAATCAATGTAAATAAAGAATTCTCAAGCAAATGGGAAAATGTGAAGATAAATTAAAATTACCCATAGTCTCATTTACAAGATGGCCCATGTTCATATATTGGTCTATTTTCTTTTCCTTTTCCTTAGTAACAATTCAGATTTTACTCTGTATATGATTTGGTTTCTTGCTGGTAACTTCATATGACACTATGCACATTTATGTGGGAAATGTGTTAAGCTATCCTCTCTCTAACTTTGTTATATTATTGGCCAATGTAAGATCTTCTGAAGGCAATCACCCTGTGTACTTTCCTCTGCAGTGACTCATCTGGAGACTGTCTCCTGTCTGTGAACTGACTTAGGGATGAAGTAATAGTGTTCTAAAGACAGGCTGAGAAGCAAACAGAATGTCAAATAGCTCTTCTTGAGTTGTTCAGTGTACACATGCTCCTGAACTTACCAAGGTGTGACATGATTTTTTGACTTTACAATGGTGTATAAGTGCTCTTTATTCAGAGAAACTGCCCTTTGAACTTTGAATTTGTATCTTCTAGGCTAGTGATATGCAGTCTGATCCTTTTTGGGGATGCTGGGCAGTGGCAGTGACCACAGGTCTTGGTCAGCCATATGACCACAAGGGAAACACCCAGACTCTATAGTAGACTGTGTTGCTAGGCTAGGATTTTTTGTGGTTTCAGTGGATTAAATTGCATTTCCAGCTTACAGTATTTTCAGTTTGCCAATGAGTTTATCAGTTTTATTACCCTTGTAAATTGAGAACATTAGTAATCAGTTATTGGAGGTTAAAAGTAACTCAGAACTTTCCTCTGTCTGAAATCCTCTTAGAAAAATAAATTCCACATTTTTCCAATGCATGTATGATTCAATAAGTCTAGTCTTGTTCCATAAATGGCAGAAAACTTAGGTTTTCAGGTCAATAGTAGCATGGTCACTAAGACCTTTCTGAGTCTCTTGTTGAGGGGAAAAACAAGGTCCTTTTATTTCAGTGCATAATTACTTCTGCTTTGTATCATAACCATTTGTGTACTTGCGTAAAACCAAACATCCTAGAGAAAGAAGATAATGTTTCATTGATTACTATATTCTCCAATTCCCTCAGTACATACTTAATAGTTGCTATGTGACATTTCTTGACTTTAACTTGTAGTTCAGAGTCTGACAAGTAGAATTAGAATTCTAGGGTCAGACACGCCCTAAAGAGATATTTCTGTTCTTCTTTTTCCTCCCCTTGGAAGACTGTACACTAAATAAACCCTCACAAGTAGTAACATAAAATTATATTTTATTTTTCAAGAAATCTTCCGGAAAGAAAACAACTTAAGGTGAGCATTGTTTAAAACAAAACAAAACAAAACAAAAAGGAAACAGAATAGACATTACTTTTTTTTTTTTTTTTTGCAGTGCTAAGGATTCAACTCAGGTCCTCATCTATGCCAAGCAAGAGCTCTGTCGCTAATCTACATCCCAGTGTTTAAATATGTGACTTCCTATGCTTTCTCAGAGTTAGTAGTATGAAAGCTGGTAACTAGTTATACAATAGAATCAAGTTCTGAAGAATCCTGCTATGTGTTTAGGAATAAGCTCCATCCCTGTTCTTAAAAATCTTGCTAAAAAAGTGGTCTGAGGACAGCAGCAGTAATACCAGCAGTAATACCATGTAAAATGCAGACTGTCACACTCTCCCCAGACCCACTGAAACACAATGTGGATTTCAACGAGATTCTCACGTGATCTGTATTCATTTAAGAGTTTGAGAAGCACAATCAAGGAGACTGAATAGTATGGATAAAACATCAGACTCCAAAGACCTTATGATGTTAAACTCTGGCTGTTGCATGGTAGATGGAATTAAACATTAATTTTATGTGGTTTAGCAGTTTCATCATCATCCTCTCAATTTCATTGTTAATAGCAGATGGCAAGATATGATCGCCAGCAACAATGTTCTGGAAAGCAGCCAGTGCATGAAATGTGATCCCACTGCCATCTAGCCTCAATGGTGGATGGATGGCTTCCTGTATGGGGAAAAAATGGAGGTTAAGAGATTCAGGGAAGGGTGAGCACCTACTTTGGAACGCTGATCCTGAGATTAATGGGCATGGTTGACACAAAGCCCATATTCATGCTGTTAGATGTTGTCTGTCTGCTTGCCTCCATGCGCCATGCAAATTGAATATTTTCCTCATGTTTCTTCAGGAGATCTTCTGTGGAAATGATAAGTCATTAAACCCATTCATAAGAGTTTTTTAAAATTTTAAATTGTTATCAATTGAGAAAACTGACAACATGAGAAAATTTTCAACCTAGAAGATGCCCAGAGGCGCATGGGGACATTTTTAGTGAGTACAGGAAATGAAGGGATGACTTTTGCAGATAATTTCCAGCCAGCATGATTAAAGATTTAGTGGCTAAAAGTATTATGTATCATAGCCTTGGCTGTGGAGAACAATGGATGGAGTAAACTGGTGTAAAGTAATTGCCTAGAGATCAGAATTACAATGGTTTTCTTATAGTGCAGCTTGGGAGGTTGAAAAGACTGAGGAGGTGTTGTCTACTTAATTCAACCCTCAGCTGGCAGTGACTGCACACCATTTAAGGCAGACAGGGCTTTGCAAACAGCCATAAATGCCCACTGACCTCATCAACGAGGGCTCTTTTGGATGGAGAGGTCAACTCTATCTCTGGGGTTGTAGGTCTAACTTGAAAAAAGAATAATAAGCTCTAGCAATAAGTGGAGTCTGTATGTGGAGAACAAGCCCATTGCTTCATTTCTATTTATCAGCTGATGCTGTGGTTTTCGGAAAAATAAAATTGCTTACATATTTCTCAGGCCATTTCTGACATTTGTGTCCTGTGAAAGGGCTAATATGGCATGTTGGCCATTTTGTTTCTTGGTAACATTACCATTTTCTTCCATGTAAATAATTCTTATTAATCCTTATTTACATTCCATGTCACATTTGTAGACTTAGCCACTGTGTATTTTAAAAATATATCTATTCATTAAATTCTTTTGGCATTTGGTGACAGTGTAATAACTGTTATTGCCTTATAACAAGAGAGAATCTCAGATCATGTTATAATCTCTGGGATACTTTTAGTTGAAGGAAATCTAATCAGTTACATTATTTTGCTGTGTAGAGTGCTTGTTGTCAATAGTGGCTATAAGACAAAGACATATTGTAAAATTTGTTAAGTGAAGAGACTCTTTACAGACTAATCTTTGGTTTTGCCAAATTAGATCAGCAGATTCACCTGAGTTCTGTCAGAATGGTGTGCTTTACTATTTTAATCCAAATACCTTTACATGTTGAGTATATACATATTTCTGTAGCTTTGTTGGGTGAATAAACATCTACTGATCATGTTCTTTGTGCCTGGCACTGCACCAGATGTTGAGAATATCTCAGTTTACTTTCAGTCAATAATGGGAAGACTTGGAAGGATTCCTCATACTGGAATCATAAGGGGAAGTCTCTTTTTAGCACTCACAGACTCATTGCTACAGAAACTTGAATTTTTCACATTTGTACCTTCCTCCAAGTAGAAGATGATTGAAGTTTAGTTCATTTTATTTGAAGATGTCCTTGTATTGTTTGGAAATGTGACTGTTGAAACACTCTTAAGCAGCTTTGCCTTCATATTTTAAATTACTGAAAGATTCTATTTTATAGTTTAATTGCTAATACTTCTAATGTGTTTAGAATTGGAATAATATAAAAAGTATACTTTTGTATCCTGGCATGCTAGAAAATAACTTCCCATTAAAATGAGTCCCTCTGGTTAAAGTTCAAGGCACATTTCAGAAATCTTGAGAATAAATAATAAATATACTAGGGCCGGGGATTTAGCTCAGTGGTTCCACCGCCTGCCCTACAATCACAAGATCCTGAGTTCAACCCCTGGTACCAAAAGATATATATATATGTATGATTAAACAAAAAGCCAGGT